GTGAGGGACAATCAAGCACCTCTGTTGAGGACAAGAGACAAGTGATGAGATGAGAAAATAGCCTCTTCTGAATATCTAAAAAATGGGGAGGCTCTTATGGAAAAATGTGGTTTTCAAAACTACTCTGTTCCTAGCTGTCTACTGGATCTGGACCACATTTTACTCTCAGTTCTTTAAGTGAGAACCCTCACTACTCCACAATCGTGTAAGGTGACTTTTGGTTCATCTGAATCGCAAAGATCACTTGCTTGCTAGAGTACTGGATGGAAAGAACCAACATGGTACTAAGGAAAGTGACCGGTTCTGGCTCTTCTGCTTCGTAGGAACATACAGGATGCTGAGGTTCTGCTCTGCTTTGCTCTGCTCTGCTCTCATGCTGGGCTGAGGGGAACCCAAAAGAATGAAGCAGTGGAGAACGAGGGAGGCAGCAGCTGCAGCCCTCCAAAACATAAGCCCCGTTGACGAGGGCGGGGGGGTCATCTCACTTTCAGAAAGGGGAGGAAGACACGGTGCGCAAGAGCACCAAGTCTGGGAACCAGTTTCCTTCTCCTCCTCAAAGAGATAAATTAGAACAAAAAGATAGTTGGTGAGTACAGAAGTTCTGGTCACCAACACATTATTTTGCTGGCATTTCCTGTTGGCCTCAAAATGGGAAGAAAAATTACTTTTAGAAAGTATATTTGCTTTTAATGTCTTGGCCTTTCTAGCTCTGGACTGAAGTAGCAGACGGTGGAGGACCTTGCTCAGGCAAGAAGAGTTCCCTCTGGGGTAGGGTAGAGGTAGAAATATAAAGATTGGGGAGGAGAGGCAAGACAGAAAAAAAACCCAACATTTTTTTTCTGTTTTTCTTTCTTTCCCCAAAGCCTAGTTCTCTTTCCCCCAGATTATGTAATAGTTTCGAATATTTCTGTTTTAAGAGAAACACCAGTGACCAATGTTTGGAAAAAATAAAGTCAAATCAAGGGAGTATAAAACATGCAAAAGGGTAGAAGAACTTGTTTTCATACATGGAAACTTTCAGTTCTCAGAAATGAAGAAAATGGCAAAAAGAAATGATCAGGCAAAGAGAAACTACTGGGGGAGGTATTAATTTGGTTCAGAAAATGAAACGGATTAGACACTTCATACAGCAAGTATGCATTCTGCACAGATTTTTCCTTGAAAATTAGTGTTCTAATTTTCAGTTTGATAAAGTGAGAGACAAAGTCAAGAATATAAAACTTCTTTGTTTTACTGAAATGTTGATGGTCTCTTCTGTTTTCAACTGTTTATTCCCTGCCTTTTCTCCTGAACAGTCAAAATTGAAGACAGGGTATATTCTCTTTAGTGCTCAGCAGCCTGCAGAACTATTTGTAAAAACATTTGCAAAAAAGTAAATTGAATCAATACATTTACAGCGACTGTCTCAATTAACTATGCTTTTCCCTTTTGTACACCAAACATTTTTGTACACCAAATGTATCTGATAAGGAAACCAGAGGATTACAACTAATTTTATTATAATACAATTTTATTGTTTTAATGTGTAGTTGAGGGTTACATACATACAGCTTTCCCCTAAATTTGTGTTGTTCTTTCCCAAACAAAGGGCAAGAAAAAGAAAAAAAAAAATTTCAATAACTTCAAACTTTCTGAGTATTTTATATCTTTTGATGGGAATTAACTAACTCCAAAGGGGATACTATTTCAGATTCAAGGAACCAGTTCCTTCAAGATGCTTCAGAAGTTTAGGTCCGTATTCCTCAGTGTTGAAAAATGTAGGGACCACCCCTTTAAACAAATGTCCTCCTACACTGATATCTGTAAAAGCATTGGAGTTCGCATTTTCAACAAATGAGAAAAGCATTATAACTGCATTGTATATTTCTCCCTAGCCTCTCCATTTTTACAGGGTCTTTTTAATGAAACGCGGCACCAAAAACATGCAACAACTCTTAGTAAGACTACTGGTCCAGAATGTTCTTCAATAAAATTGTTTGAGGATTAAAGGGCAGGAGAAGAATGGATCTGGATCCAGCCCCATGAAATCCCACTTTTAGAACCACTGTATTCTCTATTCCTACTTTTCTTCTGGGGTTGCTGGTGCGAGATCACAGTTCCACTATGGACTCACAATCAATTAAGTACATTCAGACCTGTTCACCATAGTTAATTTTCTGAGTGTCTGTACTCCTGGTGCTACTTATCACTCAATTAATTCAATTTAATTCAATCCCAACTCCAGACCAGCTCTGGGCAGTTCACATTATAATAAGCCCATCACTTGTAGGCTTCAGCCACTTAATCCGCTTTTGGGAACCAGCTGACTGGTGGTGAACCTGGGAGACCGAGGTCTGGTCTCTTTCTTTCACTACAGCAACTGACTTGTGAAGACAGTTTCAAATGTTTATCATTTGTGAATATCTTCAGACGTTTGAGCAACAATTCTATCTAAAACCGATTTATTGGTACAGTTTGCATGAACAGATTCAACCCAGTTCCTGACCCAGTAGCTTAAGTTAATTCAATTTGGAATTTTCCAAAACCTTTTTGCAATTCCATTTTTTTCTTCTTCCTGAGATGGAAATATTTTCTTATCGTTTTCCAATCTTTCATCACTTTGTGGTCGAACTCTTTTCTGACAGCCATTCACATACTCATCCATTTCTTTCTTTATATTTATTTACAAAATGGTTATGGCCAATCACAGCAATATTTCATAAAAGCAGAATAAATATAAACCCACAAAACCCCACCAAAAATCATATATCCCACTCCAGCACCACATCTCACCAACTATACATCTGCTGGGTCACTTGAAGGCCCAAAACTTGGGTCTTCACAGCCCTTCAGAAGGTTAGAGATGATGCCTTTTAATACAGTTTGCCCACATACCCTTAAATAACCCATTCTTGCTATACTTCCCTTTGTTTAGGGAAACAAGAACAGTATTTTTCCCGTTGTCAGGCCCTTCACATAATCATCTGCACTCCTGCAGAGTTACCATTTTTCAGAGTTCTCATAGTGTTTATGGCCTTGTTCATCCATTCTTTCTTGACACTAACATTTACAAGCATTCATTTCACTTCTGCTTTCAGCAAATCACTATTATTCACCCATCTCCAAAATGCCCCTTCCATTATTCACTCATTTCAGTCATTGCTTTCATTTTTAATTCTAGTAACTTTGCTGAAAGCTCCTTGCTTATCTCTTTTCATCCACTTCCAAAACTTTTTTCAAAAATCACCATTAAAAAGGCTTTGCATTTTCTTTGCCTCTTTTAAACGTCATTGCCCCTAATCTCTCTGACAATCTTCCTAGGAACTATCTTTTCTTTACATCAAACATTATAAGATATCTTCCTCCCATCCTCATGATTTGCAGCAATCATTTTCTTAGGTCTACTTTTTCTTCATCCACAGCCTCTTCCCCTTCATTCCACTAAGTGTCCCTTTTCATATTTTCCATTAGCATTTGCATAACTCCACATATTTCTTGGCAAAGTAATATAATTCTCTTCACTTTGATCTCTGCAATTTCTACATCCACCTTTCATGTCTTCTATCAGAAAACTAATCTATCTTCTCATATCCTTTCAAACAGGACACACACTTCTTACAGTTGTTCTATTTTCACTCTAGTTTCTTTTACATATTTCTTTTTCTTCCATTTTTCCCCAAAGATCCACTCTTGACACTACCAAAACATGGTCTGCTCCACATTCAGAACCTCTCATCACTCTGATATCCTTCACTAATTCTCTCAATCTTTCAGCACAATCATTTGGATTTATAGCTATTCATTTGCCATGTGTACATATGAATAGACTTATGTATAAACCATGTCTTTGAAACAAGCATACTTTTCTCTAAGCAGACAGTCACTAAACAGTCACTGTTCCCATTCATTCTTGGATCTCCAAATAGTCACATCACTTTGTCTGTACCATCCTGTCTGATTCCTACCCATCCATTCATGTCATTATTTTTTTTCCAACCTGCAGTCTACTCATTCAGAATATTGCACGCATTTTCCCCAAACTCATCTCTGGCGCTTCCATTATTACCATTCACAGGAGTTGTAACATGCAGCTGTCACCAATCTATGAACTCCTACTTTCATACACACGCACACATACACACCAAGAAGTCATCAGTTCATACCTTCTCACTTACATTTAGCCCTTTGCTCATAACTAATCTTCAACCTTCATGTCCCTGCATGTATTCATCAACTCTATAAGACCAGACCACCTTCATTCAGATGTTACATCCTCCCCTTTTCTCTTCATTGCACAGACACACAACCTTCCTTCCCTCCCTCTCTCCTTTCTTCTTCTCATTCCCATCTCCTTCCTCCCTCCCTCTTCATTTATTTATATATGCCCTTTACTCTATACTACATCTGCATTCCAGGTTGCAATCTTCCATATGCCATGGTCATCCCTGGATGTGCCCATCGATATTGACTTCTACTGCCCATTGTGGCTTTGGTCAATCAAAGTTTTTACCTAACACCTTTTAGTAAGATGGAGAAGAGGTAGACTAGGTTACTGGCCTTAGTCGCACGTATGCCCTGGGCCACCTTCCCTGCTAACAGGAAGGGCAGTACCAGGGAGGTTGGGATCCATCTTGCACATATTCTAAAGCAATTGCACCCACTGCTGTTTTGTTTCTGGCTGCAAATCAAGGTGCTTGCATTTTTCTACAAAGCCATTCAGCTGTGGAGGCAGCCTGGATGCATCTTTTACCTTGACTCCAGAGGTGTTCCAGAACTGTTACCATGGATGCTTTTCCTGTACAACCCTGCCAATGCCTGAGGCCTACAGGATTCAGCGTATACAAGTTGAAGAAAGAAATAAATGAGCACATTACTTCCCTGCACAGGAGAAAATACAGGTGGACCCTGCAGATAAAGGAGTCAAGGTAAATGGCTCTGCAGGTTTTCAGAAAACCCAGAAGGCACAAAGCTTTCATTCTGCCTTTCAAAGGAGCTCTGTTGTAAATAAACTTGGGCCTTACCTGAGCATTGAGCAGCTCTTCACACTTCTGTGCCTGTTTCTCCACCGCAGAGACGTGCTGTTTCTCCAAGGCCCCTTCCCGTTCCTGGACCACAGCCTTCAGCATGGCCTGGAATAAAGAAAAGTGCAGACAATCAGCCCAGCCCTGCCATTTTTCCCCCGACACATTTTCTACAAATAGAGAAGCGCGCATGAATAGAGCTGTCTATCAAAGGGCACCCAGGGATGAAACAGAAGCCATCTTTAAGAGGGATGTTAATGAGTCTAATTGAAGTCTGCAGCCAGAGTGTTTGCTTCTCAGGTTCCTTATGAAAATCTTCTACTGAAGGGATGAGTAACAGATAGGGAAAGTGAAGAGTTTTCTGTTCAACTTCTCATCCAGTTTGGTGGGACCACCCAAGATGAAACGGAGAGACTCGGTTCGCAGGAGGGGAGTCAGACATATTTCACTGGCTGACAAAACTCCACATCCTCTCAGCAGACACGGCTAGATCCCGGGGGCCGGGCAGGATCTCCACAACCACAAGTCAAGTAAAAACAGATGGAAATTATGACTTATTTGAAAATATAGAAGCAATGCCCCCGAAACACTTCTCACTCCAACTTGAAGAGATCAGCCATCAGAACTGAAAACCTGAACTGCAGCAACCGACTGCAGCCCATTATATCAACGCAGAAGACGAGAAAAATTTAACTGTGCGTGGCTCAGAGGACTACCCCGTACCGGGAAGAGGGGGAACCAACCAGCGAGAAAGAGAGCCCGCAAGCCCCAAATTCATGCGGCGTCATCCACTTCCTTCGGCTGACTGATAGCTCTACCAGTTTCTCATGGCAGTGGCACAGAAGCTTATTTCCAACACTGCGTGCCATTCACGTTCTCCCTTTCCAAAAGCTGTTGACATGATGCACAAAAGCCAATATTTAGATGCATTAGAGAACACAAGTTTGAAACTGAAATTATGCTACCAAAATGTTGATATGCGTGGGCATGTAAGCAGAGCATTTTAAACAACTTATTAGTAATTTTTAACGGTACGTGTTGTTGGGACGTTTTAAACAAGATCCTGAAATACACACAATGCTTGGAACAGGTTTTTTCTCTTAAGTCATCATGACTGCAGATATCATGTTATAACTGCAGTACAGTAACTGCTGTTAATATGATTAAGCCACTATGATGAACTATGATTTAACCAATATGATCAAACAATTATGATTAAACCACACTTCCTTTTCTTACACAAGTACTTGAAAATACAGAATCAACATCCTGAAAACACTTCATTCCATGTTATAAAGAATAAAGCAAAATATTATAGCACATAATTTAGGAGTAGAAATTAATATAATTTGCAAACATCAATATTCTTAAGTAAGATGTTGTTAGTCTAAAACTAGGGGGAATTACATTAACATTTCAAAAGAAGCCACAGCAATAAAAAAATAACTGAAAGCTGGAAACTATTGTGACATTTCACAACTAAGCTGATTCTTCCATTTCATTTTTATTTGCATTATTATTTATTAAAAATACACTAATCCCATTTTCAAATTAGACATTTCCAAGGCTTTTGCCAATTTTGAAATGAAAGCCTATTTTAAAAAAATCACACAGGATACGATAAGCCAAAAAACTTAAAAAAACACAAACACCCTACAATAAAAACACAACAGCAATTTTAACAAATTAGGACCAGACATTTCTTTCCAATAAACACCAACTTCATGGTTAGGAATTTGTGCAATGTCTCCCAACATTGCTATGTATGGGCAGTCCCAATGCAAGACCAGATCAAGAAGATTTTATTACTATTGTGTCTTCCTGCTATGGTGGGGCTCCAGGTGGTAGCCACAGAAGGGAGAACATCACGAGCTTGATCATGGACCAGAACCTGACAGATTCCTCCAGGCAGACTGGACCATTCTGGGCCCACAGCCCTGGATCTGGGCCAGTGTCAACAATACCTTTCCTTACAGCATGGAAAAGAAATAAATCTAATTACAAAAATGCTCTTTTCTATTCTCAGATTAGAGCGAATGCCTTAGGACTACAAGCATGTAACCATGTTCTTCAGAACCAAGTGCTTCCCCATGGCTGCCGATGGAATTTGCTTATAATCCTGCAGTTCCTTAGCTGAGGTGTGGGCTTCCACTCACCCTCTGCAACCATCAAGACTTTGGAAAACTTCCTCTGGGCCTTGGGAGGCTTTGAAGTGCTGGCAGAGGGGAACTGGATTAAGCAGGGAGCCTTCTATTGATGTAAATGAAAACCCAACGGCAAAGAGGCATGTGTGTACGTAACCCTATGTGAACACACATGAGAATAGGGAGTAAATGTGAATGTCCCCGTTATGGCAGGGTCTACACGTACAGAACAGCCTCTTCCCCTGCACCTACTGCCCCTTGCCTTTGCCACTGTATGTCCCCCAATCACTGTGCAGCTCTCAGAACGAAATTATCCACCCACCCACCCACCCCATCCCTGGGTCAAACCTTAAGGGTGGGCTGCTAGCTGCCTCTTAGCATCCTCATGGTCATCTTGTCACAGGACTAACCTATAAACCAGCTCCTCACCAGCAGAGGCCAGGAGCTTCCTCCATGAGACATAGAGCCAGAGACAATAATTTAAGATTTCCCTAGCAAGATATAGGGAAATACAGTTGACACCCTTGGTTCTCTTCTAGAGAGAACATTTTGGCCAGATGAGGTGACTCTGCAAGCCATATTCCCAATATTGGATCTATACAAGCATATATTTTCAATCCTCAAGTTTTTTACGGAACATGTATTTCGAACAAGTAATAAAAAATAGTTCTTTGACATACGTTCTTTATATAACCCCAATTAACAAGCCAAGCAGCATATGAAATTCAACCACAGAGAAATGTAGCTTACTATGTATCTCATTTTGTTATTTTACATGTTCCAATGGGAAAGGCTCTCTTCCCTTTATCCATCGTATCTTTTCCCCATAACTCTCTTTCTCACGGATGAACATCCCGCCTAACTTCTAGCTGAAAGACCAAAGTTTTCCTTGTTCCTTTCCAAACCTGATTGAGATGCTCCTTATCAGCCAGTAACCTCCAGACTCTGCTGGATGAAGACCACTGATCAGAATCTAAACATTTACAACCCCATTTTCCTTCCTAACTCCTCTTTCACTGTTCTGTGCTTTCTCTTCTGCCTCATAGTTACCTGCAAAGGACATTTACTTTACGTTCAGCTGCTTAGGTAATTCAATTAGATTGCTGCCTCGTCTCACCACAGATATACCCTGAAGATCAATGCAAGCCTTTGCGTGCACCCAGACACAGCTACATGTGTGTGGGCAAGCATGTCAATTCTGCTCCACAGCGTTCCTCAGGCAACACCGCCATTCTGAATAAGACTCTAAAACCAAATCCTGCAACGAGAATTTCACCTGCAAAACCAAGAGCGCAACAAATGGATTGAGCCAACTGCTCTCCCACTGCTGTTTCAGTGAATGTGTGAAATTTGAAAGATCGTCATCAAGAGCCTGCCCATCTTCCTTAACCTTCTTTCCATGCACAGAGGAAGATTGACATGAACCTTCAGCTACAGACCAAACTGAAGATGTGGGGTTGTCAGGCCACATCTAACGTAGCTTCCATTTCTCTTTAGCAAGTTTTTCTGTTGTGTTGAAGTTTAAGAAGCTTAAGTAGCTTAAGATAGCTTCTTAAAAGAATTTGCCCCAGGAGAGTCTCAGAAAGCCTTTTTTTAAAAATTATTATTATTCTAATCCAATGTTTTTCCAAACTTGGCAACTTTAAGATGTGTGGACTTCAACTCCCAGGATTCCCCAGCCAGCATTCCCCAGTCCACACATCTCAAAGTTGCCAAGTTTGAAAAACACGGCTTTAATCCCTATACAACAAGATTAGCTCCAAAATACATTGCTTTCTTTTCTTCTACTCTTCTCCAATTCACTTTACTCCGTAAACTATCTTTTACTGATGCTGGATTTCATTTTCATTTGCTGTCATCAAACACTGGATATTTGGTTCAAACAGTAATTGTTTGTCTCAACTCGGCTATGGTCCTGATTCAAATTTTCTGGAATTTGTTACACATTATTGTTTCCCAGAGTTTCTTTTTGCTTAAGCTCACATTCTCTGGAGCTCTTGCAGGAAAACCCATTGACTTCTGTGGTTCAGGAAACAGAATGCCATAAAAAGAAATCAGAGGAGTACAAACCTGGCATGGGAAAGGAACGGATTCTATAAAACTCCAGTTGCCTTTCTGCTGTGACTGATGTCCTTTTATGCTAAGCAATAGCTCCCTTCCCATCCAGCAAGATTCTGGGATTGTCCATTTATCCTCAGATTTCTTTCTCCTCTTTGTAACAAGGATTTGGCAGCTGTAACTCACAGCAAATCCCATTCTGCCTCCAAAGAATAGCTAAATACAGCTAAATCTTTCTATCAATTCAATTTAATTTTACAATATCGCGATTCAGAATAATCATCTTGAACAGTGATTTGTTGTGATCCAATTCTTTTCTCCAAGGCATTTGCTTTCCATTTTATCTTACCAGGAAGGAATGGGAAAAACCAAGATGGAGGTTGGCTAATTTTTGCTCTAGAGGTAACTCTGAAAAATTTAACTTGGCCCAGGCGTAAATAATTTGGCTGCTAAAAATATAATTCTGCCAAGTTTTCAATCTCATACTTCAATCTATAGTTACATACTGGCTTACAGATAATAGAAAATAAACTAATAGTTTGAAACTTTGTGCAAATTTTTAAAAAGCAGTCTTCTGATTAGTGGGTCAATATTACCAGGGAGCTGAAAAATGCATTTATGCTGAGCACCATTAGAGAAGTTATTCATACCCAAACGTTGCTCATCCTGCACAGGTGCCAAAGCACAATTTTCCTGCCACCTAAAAGAGAATGCCTAGTACAGGTTGGGTAAAGACCTGCCTCTTGAACTTGCAATGGAAGTCTCCTATGCTCCAGGACAGAAAACCAGCTTACAACTCATAAGGCTGTATTCCAGAGAGAGGCTCAATAGCATTAGGTCCACCTCAGCACATTTGCCGTCACGTTCTAAAGGTCAGCCTCCCTACACAAGGATTCTGGCACATCC